GTAGGGAAAAAATTTGGTGTTTCCAGGATGACTCTCGACTCCTCCATAAAGAGGCTTCAGTATCAATTATTTTTTTTTTGTAAACTGTGGCATTGGACCTACCCCAAATATATTACAATCCATACCATGGCTGTCTAGGGATGCCTTCATATCAGGGAAAAAAAAATACTTATTGATAATATCTAGTCTTGTGAAGCACCAGTGATACTCAATGCTTTGTTTGAATCCTGAGCTTTACATTTTTAGCAAGACATAGCAGATCTAGGAAATGATATCTGAATCTACAGCAGGTTTGAAGTATGTTCAAGAAAAAAAATCTCCAAGCAGAGCACATGGGGAAAGCCAGTCTCTGAGGGCTGTCGCAGAGGGAAGTTGGAAGCCAGAGAGAACCAGTTCCACCTGGCAGTGTGGAAGATGTTCCTTCCCGTTGCTGGAAGGAGAAAATGTTGCATGATGAGTGCTGCATATTTATACTGTGCTAGTCTAAGCACTTCCTAACTGAAAACAAAGAAGTCAAGGGTTATTTTAATGAAAGCCACCCAGGAGAGCTGTGGGGAAAAATGTCTTCTAAATGGAGTAAAAAGTAACCACAGATAGAAAACTCTATTCAGGTTTAGCAACTGATTCTGTACACACTGAAACAAGCATTCAGTGGAAACAGCTGAGTTCCCATCACTGTTTTGGTGGGAAAAGTTCACATATTCTGGGTTAGAAAAGTTAGCTGGTCACAAACCAGCATGGTGTTTGCAATCTTTACTTGAGATATGGGCTACCCAGGTTATACTTTTTAGGTAAATTCTTCAGGTTTTAGCAGAAGGAAGATCTAAGCTAGGATTTTCTACTCTCCAAAGGATTGCCATAACTATGGGACTATTCATTACTCATATGTTCTGATGTTTTGATGTTTTCCATGGATAAAGCAATGATGTCAGAGTTGTCTCCATGTAAAGAGAGTATTTTTTTAATTCTCAAAAGTTTTGATAGGTGAATCTTTTCTTCCCAGTTTTACGAAGTATCTCTTTGAGCCGTCTTTGATTACATCATCTCTTGTTTAAGCTAATTGACTTTAATGTTATAATAGTAGTAACAGTACTGCAAGTATCATTAAGCAGTTAATGTGGCTTATGTTTTGTAAAGACAACTCATAACTGCCTACAATCTACAGTGATTGATAGGGATGTTTCTTAAACTAATTTGCCCTGACAGATTATTACCAGCCAACCACCCTTCAAATTTCTGTTTTAAGTGTTATGAATGAATCTGTTATATTTTTAAAATAGTTTTATTTAAATCATTTTAGGCAGGATTATTTGAGTAAGTGTTGAAGCATTTCAGCCTTTGAATTGCAGTCTTTGCAATTCAGAGCAAAGGGCCTTACAATGATCTTGGATAAATTAGCTCAGAGAAGTAGAAAGCTCTTCTTATGTACCTGGATCAAATTCTTTGCTTGTGCAACATGAAGCTGGACTAACAGTTAATTTCCCACATTGTAATGATTATTCATATCACAATTGTCTGGGGAAACCAAAGTGGTTGCATGCATATTTTCTTGCTTGGTGGTTTATTTATCCATAATTATGGTGGTTTTGTCAGTGACATCTAGCTTTGACAAATGCACGAGGAGATATAAACAGTCTTCATGCTTTATTCAGAGAAATAGAAAGCTTGTTTACTACAATTTTTTTTTCATATTAAAAATTATAATTACAGAAATTGTTAAACTGGGGTTGCTTTATTTTCACCTTTCTTAGTCTGTAGAGCAAGGAACAGCCACATATGAAACAGCAGTATGGTTTTGTTTTCCATCTGGTCTTGTCTATACCATGCTAATATTGCAGTTAGTTTGCTGAGCTTTACTCTCATGTCTAACACTTTTGTTATCCAGTGAAGGAATTCTAATTCTTTTAGTAATGAGAATTGTATGTTAGATGGGAATGAGTGATATCTTCACCTGGCACAAGAAGAGGAAGCACTGTTACATGTCTTTTATTGATTATAGGTCCCTGCATGGATAAGTGGTATGGGTTAAGAGTATAAGGGAAAAAAATTAATGCTATAGCTGTATATAATTACAGCTGTACTTCTTTTGTGCTCTAAAATAACTTCTATTGCTCTGGTACAGACATAATAAGACAACTGAAAAACCTCAAAACATGGTGGAGAGAGGCTGGAACCTGTCTTCATGTGATCACATAATCTTGCTGTGTCCCACTGCTCCAGTCATGTGCATTCTTCCTGCCAAAGACAGAAATAGGGCTGTTGGACGTAAGTATTTCCATGCTGAGTAAAATGAATGGTCACAAGGACTCATATCAATGCATCTCCAGTGGGATAACAAAATCCATTGATATCCATTCACATGTGTGTTTCTATGTGTGTATATATATATGTATCTGAAATCACAAACCTGCACTGTACAGGCAGAAATCAGTCTGTTCTCTTTAATCATTATCAGTCTCAGAATGGAATTGCTGTCTAAAGTGTAAACACTTAAAAATTCTGGTACAAAGCAAGTATTCCTTCCATTTTCTGTCAGAAAAATGCTGGCGTATAAACATGATACTCTGCAAAGTTCAAGTGTGATTGTAAATACTTTCCATCCCATTCTGAGTTCTCAACTCCGTGTGATCTTTGCTAGTGTAACATTTAGACAAAAGCTTTTAGTCATGAGTTAGGGCTTTTTGTTAATCAGACTCTCCAAGCATGGAGAAAAAGAGCTTACCTGCACCCTTATCCTTTATGCTTTCTCATCCATTACTCAGTTCAGTGCACTGGGGCCTCTGTAGCCAAGGATGACCTCTGAAGAAATGTTGCTTCCCTCCTCACCATGAACCCTTGTTGCCCTTCTTCTCACTTAGGCTGGATTATCTCAGGAGCTGTTGACATGGCTGGTGAGTATTTGTGGGTTTTGTGTTTTTTTTCCCCTTATCATCCGTAGAGATGGAGAGACAGTGTGCACAACAATCTGCAATGAGGTAGCTTATGTTTGCAAGCACTCAGTGATGCTAAATGAAACTTTTCCTGTTGAAAAAATGTCCATAGTATTACTTCCTGGAGCTTGTCTGGCTTGCATCTTATGAGGGGGTAGCTGTGGTCTGCTTGAATTTAGCCTGCAGGCAAAATCCTAATATCTGTGAAAGCTGTTACAACCTAGGAGCACTCTTCTCATTTGTGTGGGCTTCATTCTAAGTTCGCTGAAGCAACAGTGTCTGTCTTTCCATTTTTTTCAGTGAAGTTGCTGTGTGTAAAGAGGAACTATGTAGCAACCATTTCTTCTCTACCACCTTCTATATCAAAGAAATACAGAGTAGAAATGGTAAATATTTAACTTCCTTGTACCCCTTATATTTCTTCTGTGCTGCAAATAAATGTTTGTTCTGAATATTCATTTGCATTTTCTGTAGTTTCTTACTCTGTTTTGAGATAGAAGATAGAACAAACCATATATTGTTGTAATAAGATTTTTGTCTGGACAATCTTAAATACTTTTGCATAAGTGTTCAAACTGTGTTTATCATCATATATATCGACATTGTCACAACAGAAATAATGTTTGAAAAGTTAGCTTGAACATTTACCTGGACTCTATTTGTTTCCAGTCTGCTGTTTTCACCTGTAGCATGTCCTGCCCTGCCTGCTGCCTTTTTTTGACTTTGGGGTCCTTTCCCAAAGAATATGTACTTTACAAAGGCATATTCCAGCAAGGCCAGGAACACGAACACAAAGCATCCCATCAAGTAAATATCTATTGCCTTGACATAGGGAATCTTTGGCAAGGTCTCCCTGAGGTGGGTGCTGATGGTGGTCATGGTCAGCACAGTTGTGATTCCTGCACAAGGAAGAAAAAGACATTGGCTAACACTACAGGGAAGTAAATCTGAGCATGAAAGGTGTAACGGCAGCATTGCCCAGCTACTCATGCCACTTCTCCTGCAGATGGCTTAATTTTATGACCAGATTCTTAACAACCAATGGAATGTGCTTTGCAGGACTGGAAAGGAAGATATCCAGCCTGCTGACAGCACCTTCCTTGGCTTTCCATGCAATGGAAGGGGGTGAACGAAATAGTCTTCAAAAGCCCAGGCTGTCTTGGTACATCTTGCCTTAATTTTTATAATAACTCTTCTAGGAAATGTGGTATTAGTTGACCTGGAAAGCAAAGAGTTGATCACTGTTCTTTGTATGTGAGGAAATGCTTCTCACTTTATTTACAGCAGTATCCCTGCTTGACCCCACAAGGTGGCTTCCATTGCTTTGAGGAACTAGAATAACTAGCTTTTGACTGAAAACAGAGGATTGAAAGGAGGAAGGGAAGCTTTATGATAAAATTACAGTGTTTGGTGAATAGAAAGTGATACATATGCTTGCACCAAGACAGCTTTTCCTGTTAAAGGGGTGCTTGCAAGTAAATAATTTCCATCTCATTATGTTAGCCAGCACTTAATGATTTTTTTTTTTTTTTTTTCTACTTTTTGTTTTACTGGATGAAGTTACCTTTTAATCTGCTTTAATCACAGGTCATTAATGCATCTAGATAATAGCTCTAGGTGCAGGTGTAATGAGTTGAATTTACAAAGAGATGGGACAAAACAGAGGTGGAACCAAATGGCTTTCTGGTATTAGCATTTGAAAAGCATATCTGCCTAAAGCACAGATGGTGGCAGAAGATCTTGATTCTCATGGAAAGTTGTAGGAAGAAACATGGTATTGGAAATAATGAAGTTACCTTTTAATCTGCTTTAATCACAGGTCATTAATGCATCTAGATAATAGCTCTAGGTGCAGGTGTAATGAGTTGAATTTACAAAGAGATGGGACAAAACAGAGGTGGAACCAAATGGCTTTCTGGTATTAGCATTTGAAAAGCATATCTGCCTAAAGCACAGATGGTGGCAGAAGATCTTGATTCTCATGGAAAGTTGTAGGAAGAAACATGGTATTGGAAATAACCAACTAAGAAGGCAGAACAGACTTATTTAGTGTAAGCTGGTGTATCTCCACTGATGTTGGCATGACCTTATGTATTCATTCCAGCCACACATTTGGTTTAACATCAATGAAATTATGATGCAGCACAGTGTAGATACTCTTAGATACACTTAGACCTTTACACTTCCATTTGGAAGCAAGATATATTAGGCCTGATCCAAAGACCGTTATGGCAACTGGAAGTCAGTCAGGATCCCAGACTAATTGCAGAGGAAGAGCTTCAGATGTAAGAAGGTGACTCCTGCCTGCCTTTCTGGCCATGTGCAAGTTCACAGTTAATGCTGCCACAATCACCTGTGAGGATTTGGTGCTACTGGGTTCAAAGGCAACAAGTATCTATGTAGTACAGTGACTTTGAAAAGAAGTTACCTAGAGCAACTCTGGCTGCAAAGGCATCATAATTGATCCAAAAAGATACCCACGACAGAATTGTGATCAGTGTGGAAGGCATATAGGTTTGCAAAATGAAGTATCCAATATTTCTTTTAAGCCGGAAGCTTAGTGATAATCGAGGATATGCTCCTGGAAGAAAGAATCATGTAATGACTAATACCTAATGCCTAATGTCAGTTAGACACTGGTATTTCTGGGTTGGGAAAGTGGGAGGAGCTTTTTAACAAGCCACTGCTTACCTGTTGTAAATTCCACTCTCTTTGATACCATCTTGTAATCAACAATAGAAAATTGTGGGAGCTCAATGTTATTAACTCCCGTTACTGCTGACTCTCCTCCATTCCAGTAAAATTCAATATCATCAGTAGTGTATCCATCTGAAACAGAGGCATAATTTGATTATAGATTTTTCTTCTTGTTTTATTACTTGGTTTAAATAGTTGCGGTTGAAGTGGAAGGAGCTGCTGTTAATCAGGAGTTCAGCCTTCTGTTCTGTGATGTTTCTGTTCTATAGAAGCCACACAGCCTCCTCTGTAACCAGGGGGAACTTCTAGGTGGGGAAAGGGGAAAGACAGAGAAAGAGGACAGAATTTAGGATTAAATATAAGCTTTTAGCTAGCTCTAATATCACTACTTGTTGTTCAGGCTCAAGATGCTCAATTTACCAACAGACTGATATAACAACAGTGAAACTTTTAAACTTTCCAGAAGGAGTTCTGACAGCAAAACCAGGTTCAGTTCCCAGCTTTGCATTTGATCTGCTGTGCACTCTGTGACAAAATACAGAGTTTGGAGTCAGTGGAGGCAAAGATGTTGGGAACGTATCCTTTCATATAGACTAGTGATGCAATTTCTAGCTAGGGAAATTAGACCAGAGGTGTCTTTTCCTATGACAGTGCCTTGTAATAGCCTCCTTTCTGGAATGCTGACCACATGCAGAGCAGGTTCATAGTTTCCCTGGTAACAGTCAGAGAAGCTCTCACAACTTGCTGCAGGGCTCAAAGAACTGCTTGGAAAGTCAGTGGTTATTGAACAGGTATCTTTTGATGTAAACACACAGTGATGGGTGAACAAGGTGAAGTGTTCACATACCTTATTTGTGAGCTGCTCAGTGCCATGATTTGCTAACTCTCTGAATTGCTCCTGACACCACAACTGACCTGTGCAATATATAGATCCCTGCTGTTTGCTTAAAACTTCTGTGCTTCCCATTATTTATGCTAATTTCTTTTTTTAAACAAACCACCTCAGGGCTGTCACACAGGGCTCTGCATGGCTGGTTTTCATTACTCCCAGGTATAAGTGAAGAGCTTTTAATTTCAAAAGGCTAAGGCAGCTGTTTGGTAGTGGGAATTCAGTAGCTGCTTTAAAGGCACTGCACAGAAACCACAGGTCCAAGATGAGCCATATGTAGGGGGTAATACAGCATGAGTGAAGGAGGGAATGAAGACTAAGTCTGTATTGAAAGCCAAGGCTAAGATTGTCAGGAAGAGTGTTAACTTCATTTTCTTGCAAATCTAAGTTATAAAAATTCTCTCTTGAATGTTTTCCCTCTTTAAAAAAAGAGGCAGCAAAACAGAGGAAATGGTAACCTGTCATACTGAAAGGATCAGCCTTTCAGTTGACTGCAAAGTCAACCAGTTTAGATGTGAGAATCCTGGATTCTGCTTTAGAATTTGGAAGAAAAATTGTGAACCTGATCCTTCTGCTCTCTGCTGTCATTTGCTGAGGTCCATTTCACACTCCTCCCTCCAGTTTTGCTCCAATTGTGCCACTTCCTCATCCAGTGCACGTTGGGACCCAAAGTACAGAGAGGAACCATCTCCAGTTCTCAGCAAGTCCTGACTTCGTTTGCTGTCTCCTTAAATAATCTCCTCCAGTCCCTCTACAGTTCCTCTGCCTTCTTGACAAAAGAGAGAATAGTTTGAAAAGCTTGTTGAAGATAAAATTCCCTTCCTGAAATGTGCATTATGGTACATTTAGTTGTTTAAACCAGAATGGTACCAAATAAACACCTGGGGTATCACAGAGCAGATTTCAAAAAGAAAACGGGCAGGCCTTCCTACGGAAGGATTGCACCATGTTTCTGGTGCGGTGTGTGGTGGTGCTGGACCTTCACAAAAACATATTATGGGAGTTTCATAATGTCACCAAATGTGATTTTTGCTAGTCTTGGGAAGGTTTCTATGACTTTGGCTACTAAATGAAAAGTAGACTTGCAAGATCTCAACACCTCCTTCACCTCTGTCTTTACCAGTGCTGTTGGATCCCAGCCCATAGGAGCAAAAGTCCAGGTTGATGCAGACACCCACACGCTGTCAGATCACTCCTCCTTTTGGAAGTGGGTCGTGCCTGCCAGTGAGGAGCCTTGGTGATGTAAATGGAGAAGCATTCAGTGTGGAGCAGCACTAGCTTTTTGCTAGCAGTCAGTGATGAAAACCTATTTTCTGGCAGCATGTGCCTTTAACATTTACAATGGAAGAAAAGCTATTTCAACAATAATAATAATAATTTTAAAAAAGTGGGTCTAGTTTGTGCAGTGGCAGCTCTAACATACTGATGTGTTCACTAATCTTATCTGTACTGCCCAGGTATTCCCTTGGCAGCTTTTTTTTCCCCATGTGATCCTTTTCCTTCTGCATACGTATCCATGTCACTGCTTCAAAGGGATGCCTCTGCTTTTGTGGCAGAGAAAGCAGCAGACTGGACTGATGTCTGCAAGCAAACTTCATAGAAGTCGAATATTGGAAACCTGACATGTTTCAATTACGTTAATAATCGCTGTAAAGAGAGGTGGCAGCTTTAGCTGCAAAAGCCTGGAATTATTTCCCTAAAGATATGACTATGACATTAGCAACATTCAGCTGATTTAATGACACGAGTTAATCTAATTCAGCTCAGCCCGTTCCCTAAGAAATCAGAACTGGCTTTTCCGCGTGGGAGCCGCCTGTGGCCGCGCCGCTCCC